ATGTGTGGAAAATGTCCTTGCATAAGGACAATTTATCTCCTGGTGCGTTTCGCGTGTACTTGAAACCAATGCAGGAAGAAAGCCTTCAAGTACAAGTTGGTCTTCGCGTGCGGCCTTTGTAAGAAGCAGATTTGAGGCATAGCCCCTATTCCAGAGAGTTGATTGGCTATGAGAAACACACGGAAACTCTGAGGAACCCCACAAAACTGTCAGGAAACCCTAAGGAAACCTTCAGGAAACCCTCAGGAACAAAATCCAGGATTGAATCCAGGGCAGAAACCAAGGTGCACAGACGCCTGTTTCTGGGGGGGCGTACCAAAAAAGGAAATGCTGGACTGGTATCATTTTTATCATGTTTTGTCGTTGCTTTTATCGTTTTTACCGTGTTTTTATCATTTCTATCGTTTTGTGTTCGTTTCTTCTCGTTCCCCTGGAATTTCCAGCACCAAAACTATCATTGTCTTATCGTTTTATCATTTGGGAAAACGGCCTGGATTCCCGAGATCAACTTTTTTAACGCCCTTCTACCATTTGGGATTGCGGCCTGGATTCCGGGGACTAGTTTTGCATCGTTTGGGACAGCGGCCTGGCGTCCGAAGATCATGGTTTCATCATGTGGCACAGGAGACCATACGTGCATGATTTCTTGTAGCGCGGGCCAGGATTTCCTCTGCAAAGACATGTGTCCGTTCGTCTACCATGCTGCGTGCGGCTGAGCGCACGCTGAGAAAAATATATTAACAGTCTACGAGCTAGCAACTAGCAACAGTCTAACACCTGGACCTAGCATCTAGCCGCACAGAACTCTCCACCTGCATCTTCAACATCCAATACAAAAGCCCGACATGAATTCCGATGATGATCGGATTCCAAGGGAAGACCCTAATGCAGAATAAATGGGTCTCCAGAATCTAGCGTACAAACTGAATGCAGAACCGAAAAATCTCCAGAGTCCAGCACACAAACCGAAGACTGAATCCAAGGATGCCCAAGATCCAGGGCACAACTACGCATCCAGAACATAAGGATCTCCAAAATCATCTTAACATGAAAAAACAATATATTCTCACTCCCCAATCTGGAAATCTTATAACCCTAAACCCTAAACCCTTAGCCCTCATTTCAACCCCAAACCAGAAACGCCAAACCCTAAACTGCAAACCCTAAACCGTAAACCCTAAAACCCAAAACCCGAAAGAAACCCTAAACCCAAAAACCCATAAACCGCGATTTAACCAGATTTTTTTTGTCTGGCCGACGTTTTCCTCAAATTCCTCCCGCTGTCGCAATAGACGTTCAGTCGTCCAACTGGTGCATGAAATCCTGGCTTCAAGTCTTCGAGATCAAGCTGGGGCTTGGCAAATTGCCCCGCCTAAGCGAACCTAAATCCTAAACCCCAAACCGTGCCTCAACTCTTAATGGCGGATCTTCCTTTCTGGGTCATTCCTGACTTCTTCCCTAGGAAACTGCTTTGGGCTTATGGTTGTACGAAGAGGGCTTGAGGTCTTGAAGATGTCCGGTGATGAACTCTGTCTGCTAGTACCCCTGGTGCAGGGTTTAGACAAGCTTCTGGTTCGCTCTTCGCGTACAACAGACTAATGCAACGGAGCTTTT